AACCAAATAATAATAATAGTAGTAAACCAAAAATGTAATATTACTAAATAAATGTATTATTAAATATCTAAAAGACCAAAAATACAACAAACCAACATAATAATAATAATAATAATAATAATAATAATAATAATAATAATAATAATAATAATAATATAATACATATATATATATATATAATAGTACTTTTCGCACATCTATTCTCAGATGTGGTTTATCATCCCTGGAAGAAGGAGGGAGCTGGGAATCAAACGAGGGACATCATGTACACAATTTCCCTGACCAATCCACTGGCCCCTAAAACCGCTGCTGTTACTGAGACTCAGGTGAGACCTTCATCTGTACACTTGTTTCTTTGTTAGATCATTTATGTGCTTTATTATGCTTGAAACAGATCCTCTCTCTGAATTAGACGCTGTATAAAGCCAGCCAGGAGAACGAGTGCTACATCATTGACGCAGAAGTCATCACACATGACGTGCCGTATCATGACTACTTCTACACCTTAAACCGCTATATGCTAACACGTGTGGCTAAGAACAAGTGTCGATTAAGGTTTGAATGTACAGATTTATATATTCAGCAAAACAGAAAGAAGAAAGAGATGGATGCTCAGGTGATTCTTCTATCCTTCAGGGTTTCTACAGAGCTGAGGTACAGGAAGCAGCCGTGGGGTTTGGTGAAGGGCTTTATTGAGAAGAACTTCTGGAGTGGGCTTGATGAGAACTTTAAAAGCCTCGGTAAGATCCAAACATAGCAAACTAAACAGCATAAATCCTGAGATCCACCAACAAACGTCTTGCCTTCCTCCCATAACCAATCCTAACCACAACAAATAGACCTCTACTGACGATAACCCACAGCTAAATCAAGTCACACCCACAACACTACTGAGTCCCATCGACAATGCCATTAAGCTCCACTCACATTCAATCCCAGCACACCCACAACAATAATAAGCTCCACCCAAAACATTAAATAAATTACAATTTTGAGCCACAGCTTTAGCAATGTCCACCTAGAATATTACAGAACCATCCCCACATTTGCGTGCTCCACCCACAACCCCAACCCACAATAACATTAAGCTCCACCCACATCAATATCAAGTCACACCCACAGCACTATTGAGTCCCATCCACAATATCATTAAGCTCCACTCACATCGAAGCACACCCATAACAATATTAAGCTCCACCCACAATTCTGAGCTCCACCCACAACATTAAATAAATCACCATTTTAAACTACAACCTAAGCAATATCCACCTAAAATAATACTGAACCATTTCGACATTTGTGAGCTCCACCCACAATTCTGAGCTCCACCCACAACATTAAATAAATCACCATTTTAAACTACAACCTAAGCAATATCCACCTAAAATAATACTGAACCATTTCGACATTTGTGAGCTCCACCCACAATAACTTTGAGCTCCACCCACAGCGATGTCAAGTCACACCCACAACACTATTGAGTCCTATCCACAATCGCATTAAGCTCCTCTCACATCGAAGCACGCCCACAATAATATTAAGCTCCACCTATAGTTCTGAGCTCCACCCACAACATGAAATATATCACAATTTTAAGCCACAGTTTAATCTATATCAACCTAAAATAATACTGAACCATCTCCACATTTGTGAGCTCCTTCCACAGACCCCACCCACAAAATTATTAAGCTCCACCCACATCAATATCAAGTCACACCCACAACACTATTGAGTCCCATCCACAATCGCTTTAAGCTCCACTCACATCAAAGCACACCCACAACATTATTAAGCCCCACCCACAATTCTGAGCTCCACCCACAACATTTAATAAATCACAATTTTAACAACAACCTAAAATATCCACCTAAAATAATACTGAACCATTTCGACATTTGTGAGCTCCACCCACAATTACTTTGAGCTCCACCCACAGCGATGTCAAGTCACACCCACAACACTATTGAGTCCCATCCACAATCGCATTAAGCTCCTCTCACATCGAAGCACGCCCACAATAATATTAAGCTCCACCTATAGTTCTAAGCTCCACCCACAACATGAAATATATCACAATTTTAAGCCACAGTTTAATCTATATCCACCTAAAATAATACTGAACCATCTCCACATTTGTGAGCTCCTTCCACAGACCCCACCCACAAAAAAATTAAGCTCCACCCACATCAAATATCAAGTCACACCCACATTACTATTGAGTCCCATTCACAATCGCTTTAAGCTCCACTCACATCAAAGCACACCCACAACAATATTAAGCCCCACCCACAATTCTGAGCTCCACCCACAACATTTAATAAATCACAATTTTAAACAACAACCTTAGCAATATCCACCTAAAATAATACTGAACCATTTCAACATTTGTTAGCTCCACCCACAAAAACTTTGAGCTCCACCCACAGCAATATCAAGTCACACCCACAACACTCACTATTTTAAGCCACAGTTTAATGTATATCAACCTAAACTAATACTAAACCCTCTCCACATTTGTGAGCTCCTTCCACAAACCCCACCCACAATAACATTAAGCTCCACCCACATCAATATCAAGTCACACCCACAACATTATTAAGTCCCATCCACAATCGCATAAAGCTCCACTCACATCGAAGCACACCCACAACAATATTAAGCTCCACCCACAATTATGAGCTCCACCCACAACATTAAATAAATCACGATTTTGAGCCACAGTTTAAGTTACATCCACTCAAAAATAAATACAATCTCCACATTTGTTAGCTCCACCCACAATGACGTCAAGCTCCACCCACAACAATATCAAGTCACACCCACTTCAGTATTAAGTCCCAACCACAATGGTATTGAGCTCCACTCGCTTCAAAGCACACCCACAACAATTTTACGCCACACCCATAATTCTGAACTCCGCCCACATCAACATCAATACAACAATTCTAAACTTATTTCACAACTCCAAACCCCAGTCACAACAATATTAAGCCACACCCACAACTTTCTTCACCTTCATTCTACATTTTACATCAATTTACTTTATGCAATTTATTTATGTCATCATAATTCATATTCATAATTCGAAGCAGAACAAATTTGTACCAGTATTTATTACCAATTAATCGTGCTTTTTTTTTTAATCAGAGCTGGAGTTAGCCAAGATGGAGGACGCCATGATGGAAAGCCACAGACTGTCTCCTAAATCTAAAGCATTGAAGAACTCCACCCTGAGGCGGAGAAAAAGACAGCTTGCCCACCTCCGCACAGGCCATCTAGATGAGACCCTCAGTCCTGTTACCACACCAACAGACGAGGAGGTCATCCATCGCATCAAACACGTGGCAGGTAAGCGTATGCACATCAGATATTGGCAAGCATCGAATAGAATAGGTTTAAATCAAAATTGACAATGTTTATGTGGCTAGCTTTTTCAGTATATATATATATATATATATATATATATATATATATATATATATATATATATATATATATATATATATATA